TAAAAATATGCAAGAGATGGAGAACCCACAAGATCCATAAGTAGACTGGTCCACCATTATACAAATCTTATTATCACAAAGTTTTTTTAAATTATATTTAAATGAAATCTAGGTAGCTCTAACTTACATACCTCATGCAACTGTTGTCTTAGCACTTTACACGTACAGTATATATTTCATCTGTCAGTGCAACTATATCATTTTTTGCAGAGTATTAAACCTAACTAACTCTTACTTCTCAGGCAGTGGCAACAACTGCAATTGCTCCCATTGGCACACCTATTCCTCATTTCAGAGCCAAAATAAGTTCTGATGATAGTATTCTCAAATTGTGATGCAATCATCTGGAGAGCTGGTTCCATTCTTGTTCACACAGATGCTTTTTGGAGAGTAACAAGAAGCAAGTCTTTAAATGTCTTCAGTAGTAAATTAAAATATGTTAGAGACGTATTCATAACCTCCTGCACAGGGAAGCTTTTTTAAAAATGTTAACAAACATGGCAAATGATAAAGAGGATGCTTATACCAGATAAAAGGCTCATTCACATAAACATATGATTTACAGCAGGTAAAGGAGAACAGTGTCCTTTTCTTTCCCTAACTTTTTATTTCCTCCAAGGGGAGAAGCACCATGCTGAGGATACAATTTGAAACAGACTGAATCTATCAGGCTGATGTAATGATGGCAGTGGCTGGTGCATTTTATTTACTTCTCAGAAGGACCCAAAAAATGGAACAGGGAACAAAGTGGACCGTTCTTCTGCTAGCTTCACTTGCTTCAGCAGTTGCCACCAATTTCCATGAAATAAAGGTATTATCTTCTCTCTCAAAGCTTTGGAAGATTTAGCTCCAATCTCCTTAGTTGAAGGGCTGTCAGGCTTCTGATTGCTAACTGTACAAATATAACAAAGCCAGACAAAGAGCCTTATATTTCTCAGGGGGAAGGGAGCATAATGGGACAGGTAAAGATGATAAAATAAGGGATGTTACTCTAGCACTAGAAGAGGTATATCCACATGGGATTTGAAATGCTAAATGCAGGAGTTCTCGAATGATAGTGGAATAGTTCCCATTTCCATTGGAAAACACATTGGAAATTAGCAGATCAGGTATTCCCAAGGGCAACACACCCATTCTGCGACCACCATGAACCTCATTCTTAGCTCATTGGTCCATAAGGTTGCTCACACAATCTAAGAAGGTATTTTTTAAGAAGAGACTGGACAGTCAATTGTCTGAAATGGTATAGGGTCTCCTGTTTGAGCAGGGAGTTGGACTAGAAAATCTCCAAGATCCCTTCCAGCTCTTCTCTTCTCTTCTCTTCTCTTCTCTTCTCTTCTCTTCTCTTCT